AAACCTAGTCTGACCCTAATATAAGATGACCCTAACTCTAAAGTTAATCAGAAAAATTATTAAGAAATAGGAGTTGTTTCTGTCTCCCAAAATTAGCAATTTGATTGGCTAAATAAAATACTAGTCACACTTTATTATATAGTTCATTTTGTACATCGCTTTTTTTTTTTATAAAAATAAATAATCAGTTTAATCTTAGTTCCTGCTATGAAAAAAGAATAGGAACTTCCAAAGGCAAAGAGAAAGCTTCTGACAGTGGAAATTCTGTTAGACAAATTGGTAGTAATTCTGGTGGACAAAATGAAAGTGAGAAATCTATCAGACATAACAAAGAAGGCAATTCAAATGAACAAAATAAACTTGGCTTCTGCAACTAACAAGGCGTAAACACTGATAAGGATAAAAAGAAAGTGTTGCATCAAATGTATTTTTTAACTCCAAAGTTTAAAAAAAACCTGATTTATAATTCACCAGCAAATAAATATCAAGAGTTTACAAATGTACATATATATAGTATTATGATGAAGATGGGAAACAATACCTCTAATCATGCTAAAGCTTGTAACGAGGCAACTCAAGAATGGAATAAAATCAAAACTAAAAATGCACTAGAAATCGACGATATAATTAAAAAATATCTAAATACTTCGTTTAATCTATATAATATACAAACAGTAAAATCAAGATATATACCTGAAAAGACCTTAGAACCCTCTCTCCCTACTATCTATTCAGTAGAACCTGTATCTAAAGTCTCTGCAAATACAGCAGCTCAAAAAAAAGCAGTAAATGAAATCACTATAGCAAAAAAAAACTTACAGAATTCGAGCAAATTTACAGTATTTCAACAGATTCTCAGTTTAAACATGATACATATATAAAAATAAGCAACCTTCAGACTCAAATTAGAGCTAATAAAGATAGAATTGCCAAATTAAAAAGAAATGCTAAGTATACTCAAAATTGTAGAGAAAAAAAAAAAATACTCATCGAAAATCATGAAGTAATAAACTATGATAGTTCAGGTCATTCACCACTTCTTTTTCAATATTCGAACCTACATAACTATATTTATAAGTCTGTTGAATTTGGATCAGCTGATGAAAAACAGTGAAAAGAAGTAGTTAAAGTGCAAATAATAGAAAATTTGTGCAAAAACCTTGAAAACAATTATAGTATCTATATGGCACGAACAATATTAGATAATTATTTATTATCTCGCCAGTCTAATTCTATTACTACAAAAGCACATCATTACCTAGCATGGATCTTAGTTGCTGGAGTTTCATGTACTGATACACATGAACACCCTAATAGTCATTACTGCCTTGCATCTGTTAAATGTGCAAAACAATTTGCGTCTGTTTTTTCTGATATGTCAGTTGTCATCTCTCAAGATAACAAAGCAAAGATAGGTCTCAGAATACCTAATGTAGATCGAACATTCTATACATTATAATCAATTAATAATCCTATTTGTGTAGCAGATCATGATTTTGTGATAGGATTTAAACAAAAATTAGTTCCTTCAGTATACCTTTTAATGAAACCAGGTGAATCAAATAATAAGCTATGAACAAGGCAACTTGCTATTTTTGTACGTCACCAATAGTCTCTTGGCACATCTTCACTTACACATATCCAATATCTTGACAATCTTACTATAGACTCTCAATATGATAGTATTTTGAAAACTGGTAGAGAAATTCAGCCGATTTGGTTTTGTTAGTAGATAGAGGACTAGATGAAAATCTGAGACAATTAAAAAATATTAAATCATATTGTTTGCTTTCTAGAAAGTTTAATTTAGACTACCTAACTATACGAACACATGCTTCTGAACAATCTAAATATAATCCTGTAGAAAGAGGCATGACAATACTTTCTGGTAAACTAGCAGGTGTCATATTACTAATTGATCACTTTGGAATACATTTAAACACGCAAGGCAAAGTAAACAACTAAGAATTAGCTCTTAAAAATTTTCAGTATGCTGGAGAGGCTCTCTGTAATATTTGATGCTGTAATTTAATTTTTGGGAAACATGCAAATGCACAATATGTTGAAGAATTTACCAACTCTTGTAAGAATTTGCAATTTGAGGGTACTAATAAAGAAAAAGCAGAAGAATCTAAGCAACAAGAAAAAGAAAATCAAAAAAAAAACTCAAAAAAAAAATCAAAAAAAAAATCAAAAAGAAAATCAAGAAAAAAATCAAAAACAAGACAACTTAACTGAGTGCTCCGTACCATAGTCATAGATTGAAAAGCATTGTAACATATGTCAGTACTCTCTTGATATAAAAAAGTGCACAGATGCAAGCTGTTGTAGACTATTTCGTGCAAAAGAAGCAATAGATTTTCTGCAGATAAATAATGGTTTCTTACCTCCAATCACCAAAGCTAAAGATGGGTATTTTACGAATCCTATACATCTTCTTGAGTACTATCATCAGCAAATTTATATAACCAAAATCTTTTGAAAGAATTTTAGAGTTAAAATCTTTCAAAAGATTTACGATCGATGCAAAAATTTTCAAAATAATTAATTTTGAAAATTTCTGAAAAATATTCTGAAGATCTGTGAAAAATCTTTCGAAATATTACGCAAAAAAATTCAAAATCTTTCGCAAATATTCGAAATAATGCGAAAAAAATTAATTTGGTGAAATTTTTATTTTTTAAAAAATCGGTATCGTTGCATAACGATGACGATTTTTTTTTTAAAAAAAAAAACTTTAAAAAATAATACTTTATATAATACTGTAAAAACTTTATTTATTA